ATCCCAGTTTGACTGACCGCAGGTCCCGGTGTCTGTGGGGCCGGTCCTGGAGCACCCAGACCAGATCGAAGCGGCTCAGCAGCGCCGCGGGCAGCCCCAGGTTCTTGTCCAGCCCCCGGGCGGGGTCGTAGCGTCCCAGGGCGGGGTTTGCGGCCGCCAGGACGGCGCAGCGGGCGCTCAGAGTGGCCACCACGCCCGCTTTGGCCACGGCCACGCTCTGCTGCTCCAGGGCCTCGTGCAGCGCCACCCGATCGCCCTCCAGCATTTTATCGAATTCGTCGATGCAGCAAACGCCGCCGTCCGCCAGCACCAGAGCGCCGCCCTCGAGAGTGAGCTCACCCGTGCTGGGGTCGCGGAGAACGGCGGCGGTGAGACCCACGCCCGAGGAGCCACGGCCAGAGGTGTACTGACCTGGAAATGGGGAGAGAAACAGAGAAAATGGGGTTAAAAATGGGAAAAATGGGAAAAAAATGGAAAAAACCTGGTGAAAATCGCATTGAAAATGGGCAATGAGCGCCCCCCTGTGGGGTCGCGGAGAACGGCGGCGGTGAGACCGACGCCTGAGGAACCACGGCCAGAGGTGTACTGACCTGAAAAACAAAAAAACGGGGTGAAAAACGGAGAAAATGGGAAAAAATGGGAAAAAACAGCAAAAAACCCGGTGAAAATGGGGCTAGAAACACGGAAAATGGGGCTAAAATGGGCAATGAGCGCCCCCCTGTGGGGTCACAGAGAACGGCGGCGGTGAGACCAACACCGGAGGAGCCACGGCCAGAGGTGTACTGACCTGGAAATGGGGAGAAAAACAGAGAAAATGGGAAAAAACCCGGTTAAAATCGCATCGAAAATGGGGAATGAGCGCCCCCCTGTGGGGTCACGGAGAACGGCTGCGGTGAGACCAACACCGGAGGAGCCACGGCCAGAGGTGTACTGACCTGGAAATGGGGAAAAATAGTGAAAAAATGGGAAAAAACGGGAAAAATCACAAAAAACCCGGCAAAAATCCCATTAAAAATGGGGTTAAAATGGGTAATGAGCGCCCCCCTGTGGGGTCACGGAGAACGGCGGCGGTGAGACCGACGCCTGAGGAACCACGGCCAGAGGTGTACTGACCTGGAAATGGGGAGAAAAAATGGGAAAATGGGAAAACACAGCAAAAAACCCAATAAAAATCGCATTAAAAATGGTGGAAAAATGGAGAAAATGGGGTTAAAATGGAGAAAATGGGCAATGAGCGCCCCCCTGTGGGGTCACAGAGAACGGCTGCGGTGAGACCGACACCCGAGGAGCCACGGAAAAATGAGGGAAATGAGGAAGAAAATGAGGAGGAAAATGAAGAAAAAAGAGGAAAAATAGAGAAAAAGAGGAAAAACAGGAAAAAAAGAGAAATAAAAAGAATCAAACAGGCACTGACTGCGCGGGGCGAGGCGGTCGATGTAGGAGAGGAGCTGAGATTTGGCCACGCCGGGGTCCCCCATCAGACAAATGTTGATGTTCCCTGGAAATGAGAAAAAAAAGGAGATTTTGGGTCAGAAAATGGGGAAAAAAAACGGATTTTTCATTTTTTAAAATATTTTGGGGTTTCAGGGTCACCCCTGATGTGCATCCCCCTGGGGCTCCTGTCCACGCCCCCCACCAGCATTTTCTGGGCTATTTTTTTTCATTTTTAACCGATTTTCTCGGGGTTTTTTTTATTTTTCATCATTTTTTTGGGGTAATATTGTTATATTTTATTATTTTTGCTCACCCCTGATTCGCATGCCCCTGGGGCTCCTCTCCACGCCCCCCACCAGCAGCAGCAGCAGCGATTTTTTCACGTCCTCGTGGCCGAAGATCTCGGGGGCGATGGAGGCCGCCAACTTCCCGTAGAAATCCTCACCTGCAATTGGGGCAAAACCCGGGAATTCGGGCAAAATTCGGGAATTTGGACGGCAAAATCAGATTGGGGACCAAAACTTACCCCAAATTCATCTTTTTTCCTCAAAAAATCCCCCTTTTTATCCCCAAAATCCCCATTTTTCCCCAAAAAATTCCCATTTTCCCTCCTAAAATTCCCATTTTCCCCCCAAGATGTTCCCAAAATTCCCATTTTCCCTCCACAATCCCCATTTTTTCCCAAAATTCCCATTTTCCCCCCAAATTCCCATTTTTTTCCCCCAAAAT